TCTCCAGTCCCAGCGACTGCTCTTGTAAATTCCCTACTTGATTCCCCACACAACTGTCATCAAGTTCTCCATACTGCACAGGCCCTAATCAATCCCGCAGCCTCTCTATCTCAGAAAATGCTTTTTCACTGACACTGTCAAGTACAAAATCACCGTTTGAATTTTTAGCATGCTCAAAACTTAGCCAATGCTCCCCAGATCTACCCAGTTGTTTGTGCTTGGATTTTGCGGGGAGGTGTGTAGGGGGTAATCAGCTTGACTTCTCCCTCCTTCATACACCTCATACTCAATCTTCAGAGCTTGTTGTCTCTCCCTCCAACATTGATCTCAAAGCTGTTCTTTCCTTTCCATCTCGATCTTTTACAACTGTTCTCTTCTAACTACCATCATCTCTCACCTAGACCACTGAAAGAGCCTAAAAAACTCCAATCTTTTCACTTTTACACCCTTCCCATGTGGACATCCTACTATACAGAAGTCAATATGATGTGGTTTTTATTTTTTAAAAATCTTGCTGTGCCATCCCACTGTTTTAAGCCCCTTAATGGCTTCTCAATACTAAGAAAGTTTTTGAGATTTTGTCATAGCCTAAAAGACACTGTTAGCTGAGGAAATGGCTTCTCTTTAGGGCCTCATTCCTGGCCATAATTTTTTCTGTTCTCTGAAATCCAAGCTTTTCTTTCAAATGCCAAACTCCTCAGTGACCTCATAGCCCCAAAGCCTTGAACTATGGTGTCCCTCCACATTTCCCACAATAGACCTCACACCTCACACATAGCAAAGTCCTTTTCTCCTTTCAGTTCTCAGCCTAAATTGTACTTACTCTGGTACTGTCCCTTCCCGCTAGTGCTTAAGAGATGCCTCTGATCTTTAGGTACCCTGCACTTTTCCCCTATACTGTGTATCACAAGGGCAAACACATCATTATTTTGTGATTCCCTGCTTAGTTGAGGATCAGATTAATGTCTGGCTGAGTCAGGAGGGCCCTACCCATCTCTCATGAGAAAACTCAGAGGCCTATTAGGGCTGGAATAACCCGCCCCCTCGGGTGTGTAGAGATCTGACCTTAGACAGATAAACTGTTCCTCTCAAGAAGCCCTAAAGTCCTGACTCCATTCGCCTCAGACCCTAAAACATACAATCCAAAACTACCATGTGGCCAATAACGATGTGCCAAATATCCGACTCCACCCTGGCTCCACCCCCACCTTACCCTATATAAACCTGTGCATTTGCTGAATAAAGCGGAAGTGTTCCAGAAACATCCCGGAGTCTGCCCGGTGATTCCACACCTTGCCCTCCCAGTCCAGGCCCCCTGAACCCTGTTGCACAAGTGGGCTCACAGACAAAAACAACACTGAGTGACTGATTTTTCTACTATTTGATTAGCTTCTCAAGAAGAATAGCCAGGACTGAGTTGCTCATTGCTGTGTTCCCAGACCTGGCCCAGATCCAACATAAGGGTGGAGCTGGCTCTAACCTCCAGAGAATGAGCCTATGGCTGGTCCAAAAACAGATTGGGCAGGAATAAGCCTAGAAGTGAGTGCCCCTTGAGTCCCATTTTCCATGAGCCTCCTAGTGTTGCTACCTAACTGCTTTTTCTACAGTCTTTAATCACTCTTAACCATCATTCTATAAACACATTACCTTAAAGTTGTTGAAAATATACCAGGTTAGCAGAAGGTGCTCGGAAGAAGCAACCAGTCTTTCTGCCCAGCTCCCTCCCCTCCGGCCACAGTCGGTTGTTTTCTGTGTATTTGTTGAGAGGTAAGGTCTTGCGTTCTCTGCCCTCCAACTCCTCGCCCTCCTCAATGTCCACTTGCTTCCTCCAATCCCTCTATCTCAAGACTCACCTTGCTTTGAGTCCCTTCTCTCTTTCCTCTCCTTCTACCATCTTGCCCTCCTCTCTGTAGCCTTCAAACTTTGAGAGGGTGGTGAAGAGGGCCCTGCCTTGGTCCTCTAGGACCCTTGATATCTCCTACTGACGTTTTCTTCTTCCCCCCAATGCTAATGTTCTCGGAAGAATTGCTACACTTGCAGCATTCACTTCCTTACCTCCCACTCATTGATTTTTATAGTTTTATTTCTTGAATAGTTAATACATGCTCACAATTCAGAATTCAAAACATTCCAGAAAGGTATATGGTAAAGTATCTTCCTTCCACTTGTTTCCCAAGCTTCACATTCTCCTCGGAGGCAACCCCCACTTCCAATCTCATTTATCTCTCCAGAGAGAATATGCATAAACATATTCTTGTTTCTGCTTCTATACAAATGGAGGCATTTATACACATTTACTATGTTTTTTTTAAACTTAAAACATCTTAGAGCTTGTTCTAGCTCAGTGTATCCAAGCTACTTCATTCCTTTCACTGGCTGCCTAGATTCCACTGTGAGGCTACTATACCATAAATCCGCTACTCTGGACATGGGGAATATTTGCATTCCTTTGTCCTAGCAAACACATTGCAGTGAGCAACCTTATACATCCAGGATCTTTCACCCTCGTGAGTATATCCATGAGATAAAACCATAGAAATGAAATTGCATTTTGCATTTTGAAATTAAATTGCTCTCAATGGAATTGTACCAATTCATCCACCCACAGCATGATATGGAAAGGCCTTGTCTCCCCCTCATACTCTCCAACAGATTTTTAACACGTTTTTCTTTTTTGCCAGTCTAATAGGTGAAAAGGTTAAACATATCAAGGATTCTTTTTATGTTTAAGAGCCATCTGTTTTTCTTCTGTGAATCTTCTATGTCTGTCCTTTACCCATAGCTTTTGGTTTTTTAATGATTCCTAGGAACATTCTAACTTAGAAAATTACTTCCTTTGCTTTGGGGATGTAGCTCAGTGGTAGTACTTGCCTAGCATTGTGAAGCCCTATATTCGATCCACAGTATCACAAAAAGGAAAAAGGACATTAGTTCCTTCCCATGGTATGTGTTGCAAGTATTTTCAGTCACTCTGTCATCTTTCCCAGTGCGTTTCTTGTGCTCATTAAAACAAATACAGCTACTGTCCTATGAGTTGCCCAAGACCTCCTAAGAGTGGAATCAGAAGGCCATTCTGTGAGCTCATTTATATCAGCATTTGACACCACCAACCCATCCCCCTTGACTGCCCCCATTTTCATTATCTGCACTACTTTATCATGGATCATCTCCCATTTTTCTGACTAGTATTTCCCTTATTCTTTCACTGAAATCCCTATGACAAATGCCCTTGGGAATGGAGTCTCTGAACTCCCAACTTAGCAGTGCCCAGGAGAGCCCTAGCTGGAGGTATCCCTGGAGGCTTCCCACAGCACCTTAACTTACCAAGTGGGTCATGTAGACAAGTACTGCAAGACCATATAGTGCAATGTGCAAATGAGGCAGAGTTATAGTTTGTGCCTGTGTCCCCCCAAGCCTCATGCAGTCATAGGTTTTTTCAGAGGTGTCTGGATCTAGAGTGTGTGACGATGGAATTGATTCATGATGCCATAGATTGATTTAAGGGCACTAGGATGAAGGGTGTGAGTGCTGCCCACCCTAAGTATTCTGAATAAGATAAAAGGGCAGGAAGACACTGTTAGGTTCCCTTGTTGATTTTGCTGTCTTCAGCTACCATGAACTGTTTCCCCTCTGCCATGTGCCATCCTACCCTATAGCCAGCTGTTTAAGAACTGAAACCTCTACAAACCGTGAGGTAAATAAACGCCTTCCCTTTTAATGTTGGGTGTCGGGTATTTTGTGTCAGCAAAAGTAATAATAATAATAATAACTAACATAGACAGGCTCAGTACATTTTCCTGGACTCTTGCTTTTCCATTCTTGACATCAAAACTGAACATGTCTAAGAACTGTTCCTGACCTCAGTTGGGCTCCTACCACTGTCCTAATCCCTCAGGTCGCCAACTTCCGTCTACACAAGCTCAAGAGCCGGCAAGTCCTTCTGACTCTGGGCATCTCTTCCTCTGCTGGCCTCCTTCCCAGTTCCATGTCATTGTGCTTGTCACCAAGTCCTTGCTTCCGTTAGCCTCCCCTCAAATCCTGCTGCAGTCTCCTGCTGCAGTCCCATATCAGCAGTGTCCTGCTCCTCCCGAGCACTTCTCCCCCTTCACTTACTCCTCAGTGAAGGGCTTTGCAGAAGCTTAAAACTGAATAGAAAGTGAAGGAAGCCTGGATCCAAGGGAAGTGCCAAGTTATCCTAGAACTAGCAGACTGCTTTTCCAAAAGTGAAAAACCCCTACCTTTTTCCACTTGAGAAAGTTAATCCTTTAGCTATATACGTACATGTACACCAACACATACATGTTGTAGTTATTACCTTGCACACACCAGTGTATGGAGTGGTGCTTGGTATCATTTCTGTTTGTTTGTTGCTGGCTTACCTTAATCGGCCTACTAGAATACACTTTTATGCTGGTCTCCAGACTCTCTCCAGCACTCCTTGCTTGGCTTTCACTTGTGCTGCAGTGGTACCCACTGCCTAGAGAAGCTGGTGTTGGGCGGCTCCAAGACCCTGCTCTACGATCTGGTCCCAGGGCCATCCAGCCATGTCCAGGTGGTGGAAAGTTATCCTCACCTTGGTACTCTCAGGCTGATGCCCCCTACACAACCACACAACCTTGCCCTCGTCTAAATCCTCTTCCACCAGCACAACACACACACACACACACACACACACACACACACACCCTCCTGAGAGAAACGGCCTCCATCCAGGCCTCGCAGCGGACATTCTAAGAGAGAGATCCTCAGGTGGATGGCAACTGGCCCTGCAAGTTTAGGATTGCCTGGGGTTCCATGACTCAGCAACCTTCGCACCCTATGCGCTCAGATTTATCCTAATGTTACTTGGGGGCTGGTAGACAGGAAAGAGTGAGGAGAAAAGAAGAGAATATGGGATGGCCCAGACTGCGGCCCCCAGGGCGGGAGAGAGAGGGGAGGAAGAAGCGAGGCGCTGGAAGGGGTGGGTCGCTGGGCCGGCCCAGGCTGGACTGCACGGCGGGCGTGTGCACAAGGCACTGAGACTACCTGCGGGTCGGGGCAGCGGGAGAGCCCAGGGGGCCCCACAGTTTCCAAGAGTTTTGCTCCTCCCGCCCAAGCCATGGCAGAGAACTCCGATAAAGTTCCTATCACGCTGGTGGGACCTGAAGACGTGGAGTTTTGCAGTCCCCCGGTGAGTAACCCCGGGACCCACCGACCGAGGTCAGAGATTTATGCCGCTGGATATGGGGGAACGGGCACAAATGCGGAAGCCCAAAATGTGCATGGGGTGGCGTCCCACGCGTGTGAGTGTGCAAGGGGCCCGAGATTCACAGACGTGTGGGGAGGGGGCTTCCTGTGGCAGCGGAGAGTGAAGAGCCGCAAGGCAGTAGCCCTGCACCCCGAAAGTTTGCGTCAGGCACTTGCACAGCTGGGGACAAAGGACCCTCTGGAAGGAGAGGACTGAAAGGTGGCCCTGAAGGAGCCAAGGGAAGGCCGTTTCCCACCCACTCCCCCGACTCCCTGGGGGCCTGGCGCGGGCACCGCGGGAGGGGGGCGGCCCAGACACGACCCGTCCCTCCCCGGCCCCCGCCCGCAGGCGTACGCCACGGTGACCGTGAAGCCCTCCAGCCCCGCGCGGCTGCTCAAGGTCGGATCCGTGGTCCTCATTTCGGGGGCAGTGCTGCTGCTCTTCGGGGCCATCGGGGCCTTCTACTTCTGGAAAGGGAGCGACAGTCACGTAAGTTCAAAGGGCGGCCCAGATCCGAGTCGGTGCACACCGTGTCCCAGGAGGCGCGCGGGGTGGCGGGCGAGTGTCCGTGGTACTCTAATCCCCGCTAAGCGGAGCTTCTGAGGGCCAGGCCACCTGCTGGCCACCCCAACGCCTGCCTCCTTTTAGGACTTCTCGGGACACCTTTTCCTTCTCCCTGGTCCTGTCTCCAGGCATTGCTGCTTTCTTCTCTGAGGCAGCATTGCCAGGAAGCAAGTCGTTTTAAGAAAGAATTCTGAGGCCGGGGATTTGGTTGCGCCACCTACCTCGCAAAACTCAGCGGACCCGAGTTCAATCCCCCGGTACCAAAGAATACTGAAACAGAGCAACAGAGAGCCAGGAGACACTTGGAGGAAAGCCGTTCTTGGCCCAACTCGGCCTGGCTCTTCCACTGTGGGTGTCGCTTCTCTGAACTCAGGAAGAAATGGAACTGAGTGAGCTCTAAGGCCTGTACCCCCTGAGAAAGGCTATCAATTTTCAATTGAAGACCTAAAGAGGAGAGTGGAATATTCAGACCCATAACTTGGAGTGAATTTTAATCTTTCACAAGAGTTCTTATGTGTGATCTATTTTGCAACCCCCCCCCCAGAAAAGTCTAACTTCCTTAAAGGTGGCAGATACTTTTAAGAATAATTCTGGCCCTAGTCACTAGTGATTTTATGGTAAACGCTTCACTAACTACTGTCCTGCCTTTTTTGTATGCAATGATTTATTTTGAAGCCCCATGGGTTCTCCGGGAGCATAAAAACTGCTTCTAACTTGCCTGGGCAGCGTTCCAGTATGTTCTCAAATACCTAAATGTGCTCACCTATGTAAAAGTGGGCATTTTATCTTGATGACCAGTGCCATGTCTGGCATAAGCTTATTTCAACTAATGGAAAAGAATTCCATCTCCAGGGTACACACAAAGGGCTCTTTCTTAATCACTGTCCTCAGAGGCTCTGTGACTGCTGTGTTTCACCCCTCTCTCCCACCATGAAATTCAAAGCATGAACAAATTCCAGTACTTAGAGAAAATGGTGCTGAAAGCAATTCAACCATTTTACATCACATCTTCTGCAGTCGCTGCCTAATTTGTATTTTTAATTCAAATGCCTAATGTAGATAAGCATGCCATTTAGCACTGAGTCTGTTTGTGACTATATCAAATTTACAAGCATCAATTTGTAAGATCAGAATTGCACTGTATTTTGTGTGGATTTGAAAAGTGCCTTAGTGTATTTGTATTTTAAATATAGAAGCTGGGCCAGATGCTCGTATTTGAAAACAGCAAATCTGAACATGAGAATGATTTCAATATCTACATCTCCATTAGTAGCAGGGTTACATTGTTATCCCTTTGGGAAATTTGGTGGCATTAGAATGTAAATGCTATCTTTCAGATAACAAAACCTCAATAGTATATGTCATTTGGGGGACAGAAATAGCTTTGCTTTTTATTTATTATTTATTTTATGGTAAATATTTTGGTCATGATATATGTATAAAAGGAATACCATTTGGCATTTAATTATTCAAGGCAAACATAGCTAGCTTACAAGCTTCTTGGAGACACTGAACAATCATACTGAATAAGCAGACCTCCCTTTTTTCATTTCTCTCACTTTACTGCAAGATGTTTGGTTGTCTGGTTTAAGAAAGCAGCATTAAATTCTAATATAAAGAAGTAGTGAATCAGATTTTATTGCCAACAATCAAAGTTATTCCTATTTCCTACCCAGACCAAAGGAAGAAAATCATGGTACTTTTTATTTATTTTTTTCTGAGAAGAGAGTCTCCCCACTGGTCCAGTCCTGGCCCAGCATTACTTAAGTCTGAAAAACAAATCACAAAATTCTAAATAGGATAAATCTGGCACCATATAGGCATAGGACATTCACAGGTCTGCATTCCCAGAATAAAATCTAAATCACCCGAACAAAACATAATAAAAAAAGGTAAGACTGCCCAATAGAAAGGCATATCAAACTAAATGAATTACCACACTCTGGGAATTATCTGTGCCTTGGCTCTTGTATTATCAACTTACAGAGAAAACCAGCTGCAATTTGCTTTCTTTCCCTTTCGTATAGGTAAATCCCTGAGGACAGGCCTGCTCTAATTTAGCTGGAGGACTATGAATCATGGAGCACTAATAATCAAGAGATAACTAACAGGGCTCAAATATTGAGACCATTTTTCATCCACCCTATTGTAAATGGAACAAGGCATTGAAATATGGGAAATTCCCACCAACACTAGATAACTGACAGTCCCACCCCTTGGGAGGAGGGGAGGAGACCATTGCTTGGAGCCTTTCTTCCTGGATTAATTTTTCTAGACATCTTCCTAAACATTATGTAATTAATCTTACAGAACCTAGGCCTTATTAAAAACTCATTAGCAAATATCCTTGGCTGTAAAAGGCACCATATTGAGCAGAATTTTGGCAAATAATACACTTCACTGTACTTGGATAGAAATAGCCTTAGGTGCCAACAGCTCCCTGGGATTACAGCAGATAATATAATTGCTGCTCCAGCAGCCTAGCCTCCTCCCCAGCTCAGAAAGTTGCAGATGCCTCCTGCCTTTGCCTACCCCAGCCCCCACAGCATCAGGAGGGCACAGGTTTCTCAGGGCTGCTGCAGTGGAAAGAGTTTACTGTGCATGGAGACAGACTGACGCTACATCTCAAAAGAGGCAATATCCAGTTAGGTAGGCTTTGTTAGCAAAAGTGAAATTAGGACCACAGACCACTCTTCTGGTGTTACCTTCCTGTCTCCTTTTAAAACTGAAAACAATTTAGAAATGGCTATGTTCTTAAATTCTCCATTTTGCTATATACACACTTGTAATCCCAGGACTCCAAGAGAGGAGGATTTCAAATTTAAACCGAGCAAGCCAGTTTTGCAATCTAGCAAGACCACTTCAAAAATTAAAAGTAAGAAAAGGGCTAGTATAAAAGAAAAGGAAAGGAAGGGAAATAGGGAGGGCAGAGGAGGGAAGGGAAAAAAAGATTGCTTTACTAATAAATGTTTATGTGGTATGTTTATGTGCAATGTTTTGAGAGAGGGAGGGACAGGGAAAAATAGACTTGTCACTTGAGTGAAGGACACTCATGCCAGCACGAACCCAAAAGGCAAGACTCCCTTAGACAGTCGTCAGTAACCCATGTGATCAGTGGCTGCTCAGAGAGCACCAGCCATAACAGAGCCGGCTTTGACATTCAGAAAGCACTGGGTTTCTGAAACTTGGCTACTCATAAGTAAGGATCCACCTGAGGGGTGAAGGATAAGCAGATTGGTGGGCTGTGCTCCAGCCCTAAGCAGAACCCCTAGAAGAAGTTCCTCTGATCAGGCCCGCTCGGGAGACAGTAAACTGCAGGCATCTGAGTTCTCAGAAGGAGACAGGGTCAAGCTGAGATGGATGCGGCTGCCAGAAAGGGTGGGGGATGGCAAAGCCATTTCTCCATCTCTGATATTGCTTTGTGGGTCGTATAATAATGAGTTTTCTCCAAGTAATGATCCAGTAACAACAGATGTGGTGCCGAGTGTTTTCTATGTAGGAGTCACTCTTCATAATGAGAGAGAAAAGTCATACTTGAATTGAATGGGAACTATTTTCATTTCTGACTGGTTGACCTGACATCAGACAGAAATTATCTTTCATCAATTCTCATTCTTTTCCTCTTCGAAGATTTATACATCTGTATGTGTGTATATATGTGTGTGTGTGTGTGTGTGTGTGTATATATATATATATATATATATGTCTGTAAGTGAGATAAAGACACAGATATACCTCTAAGTCCAAAAAACAAAAAAGAGGAACCCCACTACTAGCCCCACCCCACAGAAAAGTATAGCAGAGCAGTATGAATTATTTTTAAACTGATGTAGTGATAAGAAGTCTAAGCTAAGAAAGCCCTTTGGGATCTTTTAATATAGTAGCAACAAAAACATTTTTTAAGTAGTGGAATTTTTCTAACAAATTTTACTCAGAAATGCAGCACAGGCACACATGCACACACACACACACACACACACACACAGATAAACACTAGGGACTCTGGCTAAACGGTGAGGTGGACAGGGGAGGAGAGCTTCATAATCTCACCTGTTCCACCACCCTCCTCGCCTCTCAGTCAGTCCCTATGACAACACCTCAGATCTCTAAGAAATAGATGAAAATCATCTGTGAGGTTCAACGTCTTCATTCTATACTCCAAGCAATTCCCAAGCCCCAGCGAGACATGGCATGGCCTGGTCTTTACTGATGCCCGGGCTACTGTTCTTCGGTTACCTCCCTGCCACGTGTGCCACATGTCTCCTCACAACAGTATGACCTAGACACTGTACCACACACACCATGGAGCTATTTCCCTTCTGAACTGAAGCAAGTTCACGTTAGCCTTGCTCTCTACAGATTCTGCTCTGCATTTGTAGGGATGTCCTGGTCCTGTCTCAAGTTCTCACCATATGCCACATTTCCAACCTAATCGTGATCAGAGGATTTAGAAAATCATTTTTCAAGTGGAAATGCCACTGCAACTGAAAGCCAGTTGATCTTGACTCCTCAGTATCCATTTATCCATCAATGGTTTTCAACCCAGTTGCATCAGAGAATTGAGCCCTTAAAAAAAAAAAAGACCATTGCTTAAACCACAGGTTCACTCGAGATTGGTCCAGGGTGAAACCCAGGTGCAGTACCTGAAACATCTATCTACTCAGCTGCTTGTGCAGTCAGGATTGCAAATCATTGAGCTATTTGAATAAGTACCACAGACTATGAAAAGCTTTGCTTGTAAAGTATCTTTAAGGAATTGCTAAGTGTTAAATGATTCATGTAGTTATGATGTTCTTATGTATAAACATATTACTATTAAAGATGATTCTGTGTTATCTCTTAAAAATATGAAAGCTCCTTGTCCAACAGAGGTCTAAAGATAATGCTTGAATTGCCAAAAATGGAAAGCATCACTAACTTTCATGTTTGCTTCCAGATTTACAATGTCCATTACACCATGAGTATCAATGGGAAATTACAGGATGGGTCAATGGAAATAGATTCTGGGAACAACTTGGAGACCTTTAAAATGGGAAGTGGGGCCGAAGAAACAATTGAAGTTAATGATTTCCAGAATGTAAGTATGTTTCATGCTTAGAAAGTTTAGCCAGGCAAGCCTGGGGGACTTTTCCAATTCAAGAAGAAGCATTACACACACACACACACACACAAAGTATCTGAAGCATCTGTTTTTCACAGCAGGTATAGTGCCAGTAATCCATATGTGTCAGGTCGCATATTTTCTCTGAGAAAGGAAAAATGCTTCCTACCTTTTGTTGTTGTTGTTTGGGTTTTTTTTTTTTTTTTTTTTTTTTTTTTTTTTTTTTTTGTGTTCGTCGGGTTGTTTTTTTTTTTTTTTTTTTTTTGTCATTGTTTTCTTGAGATGGTCTCAGTATATAATTCACCCTGGCCCTGAACTCAATATATAGCCAGGCTTGAACTTGTGGTGATTCTCCTGCTTCAGCCTCCCAAGTGCTGGGATTACAACCACACTGAACTTTTTCCAAAAGAAAAAGACAATGCCTCTGCGGGCAAAACACACACACAAAGCAATACCACCTCTGAGTGAAATGGTACATACCTGCAGTCCCAGCTACTTGAGAGACCAAAAGAGGATCACTTCAGCCCAGGAGTTTGAGGCCAGCCTGAGCAACATAGTGAGTCTCTGAAGTAAGAGGAAGTAGGAAGAAACGAGAGAAGCAAAGGGAGAAAGAGGGAAGGAGGAAGGAAGGCAGGAGAAAATTAAAAGGAAAAAAGCAACTTCATTGAATTCAGTTACTTAAGGAAAGAACTATCTTGAAAAGTTAATTCTACTGCTTGGAAATAAAAGATAGAGTCCTAGGAATCAAAATAAAGCTTGACTTTTTGTTTTGTTTTGTTTTGCTTTGCTTTGTTTGAGGCAGGGTCTCATTATACAGTTCCAGCTGGTTTTGAACTCGCTATGTAGCCCAGGCTGGCCTCAAACTCAGGGCAATCCTCTTGCCTCAGCCTTCCAAGTGCTGGGATTACAGGTGTGCACCACCATGCCCAGCAAAATTCAATTTTTTAAAATGAAAAATAAGTCACAATACCATTGAAAGGAGCAAACTCTTCTTGGAATTATATTAAGTATTGGCAGAAAGAATTGAAAGAACTCTTTTCAAGTTGTTTTCTATAACACAGCAAATAAAATGTTCAAACTATCCTAAAATGTTGCAAAGCCTGAAATTTGAACTTCTGGAGAGGAGAGAAATTATAATTAACATCAGGTAAGAGCTAGATGTGATGGCACATGCCTGTGATCCCAGGACTCTGGGAGGCTGAGGCAGGAAGATTAGAAGTTTGAGCCCAGCTTGGGCAATTTAGCCACTGAGTGAGACCCTATCTCAAAAAAAGAAGAAAGAAAACAAAACTAAACTAAAGGGCTGAGGATGCAGCTCATTGTGAGTGTGGAGGTGTGGAGGTTCTGGGTTCAATTCCAAGTACCACAAACAAAGAAAACACATAGAATCTATTTACATACTTTGAGTTCTCATTTAATCCAGAAAACTAGCATGGGCAAAATTCCCTATTTTAGCTTGTGTTTTCTGGCCATGGCCTATTACAGATAAAACATTCAAATCTCCTTTGAAAAGAACTGCTTTGTTTCCCAAAATTTTAATTTGCAGGCAATTTGAGACATTAAGCTCTTCAGTGATGCGTGGGTGTACATCTGCAAACCAAAATGTCATTGCAGGTCTAATTTCCCATTGGCCAATGTACATACCTTATTATCTTTCATATTCTGTGATGAGAAAGAGGCTCACTGTTTGGGTTTTCTTGTTGACTCTGCATGTGGAAGAGGTAAAACTTCATAATGAAAAAGGGCTCTTGAAAATAATGTCTCTTTTGATAGTTTATTGGTCCACAAACATCTCATCCACCCATCTTCCTATGACTGATGAGAAAAACTAAAAATGCTTTTCGTTTGAATGAAAGCACTCCCCTTGTTGGTACTGAAATACACTTCAGAAGTCCTTTTGAATACGAAAGAGATGCTAACATTAGAGCCATGCAGTGTTGTACATTGTTTGATGATGACAAGGACTGGCTATGTTCAGAGTGGTCTCTGCCCAGGGAACAGGCTCTGCAGCTCTGAATGTGCCCAGCTGTACTTTGGTAGGTCATAACTTTTCAAGTGGTTCGGGTCAGTGTGCAGGTATAATTCTCTGAACCTATCACAGGTTTTTACTGGAAGACCCAGCGCAGGATAAAAGTATTTCTTCTTTCTACTACTCAGTATAAACTAATGAAATGTGGCTCCCCACACACATTATTCAATCCAGAACAAAACTGAATACCTAGGCTGTGCCACGATATCAACATATGAGAAGGGAGCTACTGAGTATGAAAAGACCCATCTCCCTCAAGATGTTCACGTATCAAGAATATCCTTCAAATACATTTTAATCCCAAACCTATATATCTGTTTTATAATCCTTTGGTTCTTTCTAATAATGGTATCGATTGTGCTTTATTCTCATAGGCCAACAGTGCCACAAATATTTTATAAACTGATCAATTCTCTTTGATAGCGTCCACATTTCTCTAAGTCAGAAATGGTGAGTAGAACATTTTCTTGATGGATAGTTCCTGTTATGGGTTTAAACAAGCCTGGACTTTTGAAAACACATGAATCAGCCACTATGGTCATGCACTATTACTTTCTCTTCTATTTTAAACTATTGGTCAAATTCAGGAAGGGTTGATTGAAACTCACTGTGCACAAGGGAAGATGCTAAGCATGCAGATGTGAAGATAAGTGACTCTTGTCCCTCAAGAATCCCCAGTCCAGTCCAATCCAGTCCAGGAAGTATGATGCACACAGAAATGGTTTCTGGTCAGCCCAGGAGCCAGGCTGTGCTGAGCAATGAGCATAATGTGCAAGCACACAGAGGCATCACTACCAATTAGGGGCTTTGAGGAGGTAGATAGAAGTGATGACAATTGAATAAGGTCCTGAGGAATAATTTGAATTTCAACAGGCAGAGAGTTAAGGGCAGGACTTTCCAGGCCCACAGAAGAATTGTGAGCACAGGTGTGCAGTCCTGTTTCTGGTGTGATTGAACACCAAGAAGGAAGTATGAAGGAGACATGGGTGGGCCAGGTTGTAAAAGGGTTTGAACTGTCAATGAATAGTCTCCCCTGCTCACCCACAATCTACCAAGACTTTAATGAAGCCCAACAGCCTAAAAAAGAACCCCTTGAGGAATAAAAACACTAAAAAGTGCTTCAGGGAGATACAAATGCCCAGTTAATGAGTTATATTTTAGAAGGTTATTTACAAGCATCTTTGCCAGCTTAGGCCAACCCTTTCAAGCATAACGTCCCATTTAAATAACAAAAATCCTGATTAGAAATTAAAAGAATATGCTGATTAAGTATATGAGTGTTCACTGTACAATTCTTTTCATTTATGAATATTTGAAATTTATAATTTGAAAAGCTAGAAAGGATAACCTAACTATAGTCTCTTGTTTTCAAAAATCAATACAACCCCCAAATGTAACATAAAGGAAAAATAAAATGAAGGTAATTTAAAGTAAAATATGGATTTCATATGTAATTCACCTTGATGCATTAGAAAACATAGTAAAGTCAAACACATGCACTGGTAGTTGAATGACTGTCAACCTAAAATGCAGACAGACACAAGTGTGTTTTGGCAATTAAATTTTAAGTGATTTTCTCAAACAGACATAAGTAACAATTAGTTTCCATTTTCATAGTAATTACACTTCTAGGAAATTCACTGTACATTAAAACTATGCCAAAATCACTGTGCTTATATGGAAAACATTGGATTCTAGGCAGAGATACCTACAGACAGGTTTTCCTTGGAGTTCTTTGGGTCTGCCTCAGGCTCCACAGCACCCAGCATCCCTGGGCACTGCCAGGTAAGAACATGAGTACTCCAATTTTTGTAACAAGATTCCTCCAAGGATTTCTAAATAGCCCTTGGGTGCAGGACTCCCTATCCTTGAAATCCTTCTGGATGTCACAGAAATAGATGAGATACCTTAGAAGGAAGAAATGTGCTACTAAATTGAGACTATCTGACTCTTGCAAAAGAATGTTAGATTTTTGAACTCATCATTCATTGCCTTTGTTAGCAAGTTTCTTCATTATCACTAGCATCTAAGGCCTTGTTTGTTTACAAAAGCAGGAGGTTCTCTTGGCTTTCTTCTGCTTCTTTTAGTTCCTTCTGCTTAATCTCTTAATATATTTGCCTGCTTAATGTGGATGTATGGCTTGACATGGTGGTTAATGTGTGTGAATTCTTTCCCATGGTCCTAGCCCCATGGGGTTTTAGTTCTCTTTGCAGCACATAGCCTGTCAGTACTGACTCCATTCTGGCTTCTCACACAGTGCTGCTAATCCTTCAAGAAAACCAGCTGTGTCTCCTTTGAGGGCACAGTAATGGTTGTGTGGTGCTTCCTCCCACACTTCTCACACCAGAGGACAGAAGTGTTGGAAGTTGAAAGAACATATCACATAGAGAGGCACTCATCTCCCTCCTTTGTCTTCCATTTTTCAAAGTATGATTCTTGGATTTACATGCAAAATAATGACAGCAGAACTTTGGGAGGTAGCAGAGCAGACAACTGTTGCTCTCAGCGGGGGTTCCACAGGCCACCAACAGGACAGCATCCAAGAATTTATTGGAAATGCACATTTTAGGCCTGCTGAATTGGAACACTGGGCTTGGGGTCCAACACTCTGTCTTATTCTGATGCAAGCAAAAGTTTGTGATCCATTGGTACAGAAGGAACTTGGGTCCAAAGACTATTGCAGTCTTTTAAAAACGTAATTACCCTGAAAAGTGCCTTTCATTCTAGATTAGTAGTCCTCAGCTACAGACAGCTTGAGGAACTTTCTTTCCAGGAAATTCTGGTGCGTGAAGTCACAGCCCTGCATCCAGCCTTGATGCTTTCTCCTCTGAGCAGGGTCTGTACCCCAGCCTCTGTCTGAGAATGAGTTGGTGCTGGGAAAAGTAGGTGAAATGGGTGACATTTGTGCATGTGGCCAGTCAGGCCTCCAGGCAAATAGTAAGGCATTTTTTTTTTTTTTTTTTTAATACCGGGGATTGAATTGGGGACTTTTCGCTTACAAAGAGAAAGCAACTTTTTTCTCTCTTCAACCTGTCTTCACCAGCTGGTACTTGCCAGATTTTGCAGAGCACCTGGTGCTGAGTTCAAATAAGGCAGAACCTTCCATGAATCTCTTACTGGATGACTTACATTTAGCTTCATTCTTCATTTAAAAGGATTAAATTGAGCCTGGATCCTAGTTTTCTAAGTGTTCCTCATCCCCCATTCCTTAGTACTAACCGTAGAGCTGGTTCCATATTGTTCTGGCACTTGTCTCAACAAAACAGAAGATTGTCAAGATTCAGCATTGTGATGATATCTACATTGAGTTTTATGACCTTTAATACTATTTTTAGCCACTAATTTGTCATGAAACCAAAACCAGTACCATGAAAGTAAATACTCCTGGGATAGAATGTACACTTACCCTTCCTGTCCTCTGTGGGTTGAAACAGTACCCAGCTATCAGCTGAGAGGGAGCCTTGTGGCCAATATTTCCTTGAGGCTGGTCCCCAGGCAGACATGGGGGAGACAATGTTCATATCTCACAGGGCCAAAAAATTTATCTAAGTTCTTGAGTAAGGTCTAGGAGCAAACTTCAGCTCTTGCTAGAAAGCTTTTCTGTTTATTCTGGGATTAGTAATTTAGAAAAATTCCAAATTAATGGATTTTTGTTTTGTTTTTGAAACAAGGTCTCACTATGTAGCCTAGGCTGGCCTCAGGTTTGTGGTGATCCTCCTGCCTCTGCTTCCCAAGTGCTGAGATTAAAGGCATGCACTATCACACCCAGCTAACTTAATGGATTAATTTGACTAACATCTTTTGAAAATATTTGTAGGATCACCAAAGAGAATAAACAGACAAAACCTCAGATACTGATTTCGAGAAGCTTACAACTGAGTAAGCAGTATAGACTAAATGCAAAATGAGAGATGAAGATGATAGGACTGACCTTAGAGGCAAGAGAGCTCGCTTCACTGGGGCCTCCAGAGAAAGATGCATGGAAAAAGCAGCAGTTCGTCTGAACTTGTAGGCAGAGGGAGAGTAACTAACATATCAGTCTTGGCTCAAATGTCACCTCTTCTGGCTGCTGTGTAAAGTACAGTCCCCTGCCATTTCTTTCCTCCTTCTCTACTTTGCTTTTCTTCTTACTTCTACTTGACTTTTTCTCTACTTTTTATTGTTGGTAAATAATCCTAAATCCCCTGAGAGAACGGATTTTATGTTTTCTTCATTCCTGTACCCAACACCTGCAATAGTGCCTGGCACAAAATAGACATGTCATAAATTGAATACATGAATGATTGCATACTTTTATCTCATAGGGCATCACAGGAATCCGTTTTGCTGGAGGAGAGAAGTGCTACATCAAAGCACAGGTGAAGGCTCGTGTTCCTGAGGTGGGCGCTGTGACCAAGCAAAGCATCTCCTCTGAACTGGTGGGTCCTGGTGCACTCAGACAGTAAGAGAGTTTGAAGGAACAACCCCTTCAGTCTCAAGACCAGAATCTAAGTTTTGTTTTTTCTCTGCCAAAGGAATTTAAATTCTCTGTCCTACTGGGAGTAGTCCTTTAAAAGTTTTGGGAAAGCCATATTTTAAATAGCCTAATCAGGCTTGGTGGTCACATAACCCTTATTTGTCTGATGTTAGTGAATCAATGACTTAGACTCCACTTTAAAAATAAAATACACCATGAGATCAGACTTCATGAAAGGGGCCTCGGAATCCCTCTAGCCTCAGCCCATGCAATGTGGGAATTCCTTCCAAATATTCTGATGAGCTGGTCACCCAGCTTCTGCTGGAAAGCTGGGACAGGATATCAGTCAGCCAGCTTTACCACCACGGAAGTTCTAATGGTTTTGCCCACCCATGAGCAGAAATAGTTCCTCCTACAATTTCTTCTATTTAGCTCAAGGTCAGTGAATTGACACAACATATATTTAATTCCTTTCCTATGTGTCAGTTTGTGAGGTTTTTTTAAAAAAACATAACCCTTCAAATTTCATTAAACTTGATTTTTTAAAAATGTAAGATTTACAGAGTTCTAAAGACACATTTAACAATAACACCTTACTTTCTTACCATACTTTAAGGGTTACAAAGTGGTCACATGGACTACTGTCTTGCATTTGGCAGGCATGGTGAGGAAAAAAAAGATGGGAGGGACTTGGGCATCAGAAAAAACATGAAGTCAAACCCCAGCCCTGACACTTGCTATGCATGATTTAACTCCTTGAGCATTAGTTTTGTCATTTGCAAACTGGGGGTGTACACACTGTGTCCATGGCCCTAAAACCTACTCCATGGTGAGTGGATAGCTATTGCTCATTATCGTTAATTTTATTATGATCATCTCTGATCCCTTCAGTATCCCTGAGGGGGAAATGAAGCATCAGCTCCCTCGAGACAAGAAGGAAAATAAGGATAAGAGAAGGTGCCTAGAAACTGCCTGATTGCCCCCATGGGAGCAGCATCAGGCAGTGTCTCTAAACAAAAGAAAACAAAAGCTAAAAGCTAAAAGCAAACCTGAGTTTAAAAATGGGCCAACATGTATTCTGCTCTTACTCCCAGTGTCCCCAACATTCATCCTGTGAGACGTTTTCAAAACCGCCACAGCTACAATTATTCCTTGATCATGTCCTAGTCTGATCTTCCTAAGCTGGGCCACTCAGAATTGAAGGCCATGCTCTCTCTCAGTGTGAACTAGCACCAAACTGAAATGGGATGGAGACCTCCTTTGTTCTAACCTTTGAACTTCTCTTATTGAATTACCATTATTTTTATAGTCATCGCTCTCTGTTTCTGCTGTGAAGACCTTACTGAATTATAATCCTTGCCATTTCCCCATCCATGGACCTGAAGTGCACTCTTTTCTCCTCTCACAAGGACCATCTCGCCAGTCAGAGCTCACTCAGAACTAGTCATAAGTTTTCAATACATTTTGTAGACTTTTTAAAAGTAACCTTTTCCTTGGTTTTTAAAAACAATACTTTATTACTGTAGAAAATTTGGGAAATATATAAAAGTACAGAGAATGCAGACACTCATAGCTACATAATCCACAGATAATCAAGGTTAACACTTCAGTGGATTTTCTGTATCTGTGTATGTGTCATTTTCATAAGTGAAGTTAGACTGTGTAATTATTATTTTCATTTAACTTTAGTTCTCCTAAAATGTAGATTATTATGGATATAGTATAGATCATACATTAATTTTCAAAGTCTTTTATTCCAAAACATTTTGGGTATCTTCCATTTTTCACTATTTCAAATAATAGCTGAAAAAACTTCCCAAGACAGTGAATTATTTTTGTATTTTAATTGTTGGCAGTATTTGATTCTTAGGCCACAGAAGGAGATCTGTCTTTTGTTTTAGTTGTGGACAGTGGCTCTCCTGATGGACAAAAACTAATTCAGACAATACATGCTTGGCTGTCAGTAGCAGACAATTGAGAATAACTTAAACAAGTAGAGATATGTTTTTCTTTATTGTAGACGATGCAGATAAGCAGCTGTAGGCCCTGGCTCAGCAGCCAGCATCTCTGTAGTTTTTATTTATTTATTTTCCTTTCCTTACATCTTCAGATATGATGGTACTGGACAACCTCTGCTTCAGTAAAAAAGACTGAGTGCCAAGCATGACTTTTTTTTTTTTTTTTTTTTTTTTTTTTTTTTTTTTTTTTTTTTGGTACTGGGGATCAAACTCGGGTCCTTGCACCTGTAAGGCAGGTGGCAGCACCACTGAGCTAAATCCTCAGCAAGCATGATTTAAGACAGAAAAAACAGGCCTCACAATAGCCAAAACACTTTGCCACCCAGTAACCTCTCAGCCCTGGAGAATATGAGAAAGCAAGTGCCTTCTGGCTCTCGACACACTGTTCCACCAACAAAAACAAGACTGTTTGCAAGGAAAGGAAAAAAGGAAAGATATTGAGTAGGCAACTGAAACAATGTACCCAAGATTTGTTTAACATTCTTAGCTTATAGGATGCATCTATATGCATTATCCTAGTCACCCTACTCTTCCCCACACACTTTACACTCTGATGGGGCAGATTTATATGCCACTTGCCCTCATAAATTTTTCATCCACTTTGTGTAACTTTTAAAAAGCTACCATACTCAGGAGCATTCATTTCCTGGAAGAAGCCATTTAATTTAAGGTAAATAAATGGATTACTTGAGTGTTAGCTTCCTTCAATAACTTTAAGTTGTTTTAATGCAACTATAAGCCTGAGGGAGAAACATAAATGAAGTGCTGCTTTTAGCTAAAAGTAAGGAGAAAACATTTTAATTTCTCTGACCTATTGCAAACTAATAAATATATGAAAGGAACAACTGGAAAAAAATAAAATTGTCCCCTGGGTTATCAAACCATTGTCAGCAATTTGCTGTAGAAGAAAATCCAGGGTTTAGCTTTGAAATCTCAGTGGTGTGCTTGATGTGAGGAACATCTGAAATATGTTTTGTTATAGCTGGGAAATGGAGAAATGGTTTATGTTAAATAATACTTTGAACTGAAGACATTAAAGAACCAATCACTTGCTTTTTCCATTGTTGTTTGAAAGCTTCAGAACAAAACCCCAAAAGATTTTCACTTCAAATGAAGGGTTCCTCGGTCCTTTTATAGGATTTCAGGGCCTGCTCAATTGCTTTTCCATAAAAAATGTCTTTGATCGAAAACATGAGATTAACCTAAATCTCAAAGTTGGTATCAAGTAATTTTCACTTCAACTCAGAACACTTCTATTCACGTTACAGCTATCCAGGGGGCAGGACAATGGGAGGAGGCATGCTGAATACTAGGAAGAGAGCTACAAAGAGATTGGAACCTTAGAGTATGCATCGATACACCCACGCAGAATTCTCCCTAAGTTTTCATTAGGCAAAACAAGCTTTTAGCAACATGTGATGTTCTACTATCCTCTTTGCTCAAATGCATCTTATTTTTTACTTACAGGAAGGCAAGATCATGCCAGTTAAATATGAAGAAAATTCTCTTATCTGGGTGGCTGTTGACCAACCTGTCAAGGACAATAGTTTCTTGAGTTCTAAAGTCTTAGAACTTTGTGGCAGCCTCCCTATTTTCTGGCTTAAACCTACATATCCAAAAGGTAACATTTTAAGTTTTCGCGTTGCTGCCTGAAATTATCCATTTCTGTGAGGTTCAGCAGAACCTCTCCCAGGTTAGGGCATGTAATAAAGATCAAAGCAGGGTTCATGTGGTAGTGTCCTCCCTGATTAGTAAGAGAGATAAAAGTGACATCTGTGATTGCATCAGAGAATGGAAGGAGCAACAGAGTTATCAGGAGGCAGAGCAGGAAGACAAGAGCACTACTGTATTACCTGAGGCTGGCTTTTATTTATGATGCTCCTAATTCTTCCCACTCTGCCCCTTAATCTCAGCTGTTTGCACAATCCATTTTTACATTTTTTATTCCTAAGGAGTAGAATCATGGGACTAAGAAGCTGTCAAGCCACCAAATCTTTATTATATTCAAGCCTAGAATTACGGGACAGCCAAAAGCTGCTGTGGGTATAAGCTGAGATTCCTCAAATTGAAGGCTTGAGAATCAGTTTCCAAGTTCAGAGGGAATAAATTCAGGTCACTGGGGTTTTGAATTTTATTGCAAGATATCTTTGAGCTACTTCCAGGTGGCAAAAGGACAGGTGAGTGCAGTGGACCTTGCCGTTTCTCCTGTCCCCAGAGAGCCTCTCTCTTCATCTCTGCCGCAGGAAACCTTGCTGGTCTCCCTAACGTCTATTCTGAAGTTCTGGTTTGGAACCAGTGGTGGGGGCTTTCTCCTAAACAGCTGCAATAAGCTGTTTTCAGTAACATTTTATTGAATACCAGGAGACCACAGTATAGAAATGAAAATAAAAGCGTTAAAACCTCTGGTTAAAAAAACAGAATGGGCAGTTAGTGTTTAATAGGTAATCTCAGTTTTTTGCAACATGAAAAAGTGTCTAGAGATGGATAGTAGTGATGGTTGCACAGCAGTGTGAATGTGTTTGACATCAATGAACCATACACTTAAAAATGTATAAAGTATAAATTTTGTTATGGTTTAAAAGAATACCTCGCCAGGCTCAGACAGAACAGTTTTCTGGTTGTACCATAACTAAATTATTCTTAGGGTGCACAAATCCCACTGTTCCAAAGCATGGAGGAGGTGGCTGCTCTGTATCTAAGGCCAGGTGAGCTGAGTTCAGTGTACAAACCATTGGTGGTGGCTGCCTCACACGGTGAGGCAAGAAGAATCCTGAGGCCATGTGCAGGTGCAGCAAGAAAGAATACCATGTCTGTAGGTGTCTGTCACGATGTAGGTGGCTGCAGAAGGGGCACAGTTCATGCCTCTGTAGATGGCAGTAACTCATAATTCTGTGGTCACTTGTCAAGTTCTGAAGGTGAAGGTCCCATCCCTTCACCTAAGTGATCATCTTGCTTTTTACCACCCAGAAACTACAACCTTTGCTAGTTAAGGACAAGAGTCTCCTACACTGCTACCACTTAGAGCTCTCCCTAATGAGGCTTTCTCTGAGGACAAGCCTCTTAACCAGAGTTTACTCACCCATTCAAAAAACATCTATGAAGTGCCATCATGTGCCATATAACTTGTGATCCTTGAGATGCACTGCTGAACAAAACCAACGAGAATGAGTGTCCTTAAGGGGTTTTAAATTGTAAGAAAATCAGACATAAAATACACACTAAATTAAGAAAATTGTATAGAATGATACAAGGTGCCATGCAGAAATAATGCAGGGCAAGTGAGGGAAAGGGGGAACACAATACTATTGGCAGTGCTACAATGTCAGGCACAATAAGTAACTTTATCCTTGGGAAACAGCTTGTTCTAGCTACATCTAGGATATTCCTTGGACCTTCATTGCTTAACAACATAGCACAACAACATCTTAAGTATTTCGCATCACAGCAAACATACAAAAACTACACATATTGGACTGAGGTTGTAACTCCACCATTGCCTAGCATACAAGGTGTTTGATCTCTAGCTCAAAAAATGTATACATATTATGTATATCAGAAAAGTCGAACCCAAATTAGAAAAGTATTAAATGTTGGTATATCCACAGGATGGAATATCTTATTAAAAATAAAGGTGTTTTCCTCCTTAAGTACAGTTATAGTTTACAATAAAACCAAGAAAATAAATTTCCCTCAGATAATGATGCCTGGTTCCCATCTAATTCTAAGAAAATCCTCCCAACTCCAGCATCCCGTAGGCCCTGCCCTTGAATATTGAAGCCATCAGGTTATCAGTGTCACAGAGCTGTATTAACAATACAGCTGGACACAGATCAGAAGGGTAAGGAAAGGGGGAAGAGTTCTTATCTGCGGAGCACTGCCTGTGTGCCAGGCACTGTCCCGGAGTGTGATGTTTATCCTAATTTAATCTTTATCAACAAATGCTGGAGTAACTACTCCAGTTCCCATTTTATACGCGAAGAAACTAAGGTTCATAGAGATTAATTTGCTTGAGTTAATTCAGCTAGTTAAAAGAAGTAGAGCTGTGAATACAAGTATGGTTCAAGGCACATCTAAATTCTCACAAATAACAAAGCATGATATAATCACCTGACATTTAAGTGTTTATTATATGCCAAACACCGTTCTAAAACCTTTAGATACAGATTTTCATTAACCCTATTACTACTTTATGAATTTGATACAACTCCCCCATCTTACAGATGAAGAAGCTAAGGCTCAGGGAGATACCAAAGAGCATGCTGTGTGGTACTTTCCATCTTTGTTACTCAGCCGTTAGCTGTGCTACAGGATCTATAAGGCAATGTGGTTAACCAGAGCACTGGGTTGAAAGACAGTTCACCTCCAGGCCCGAGCTTTGCCACTCATCCTGAGATCTTGGCCAAGCCACTTGGTCTTTCCAAGACTTCATGCTTTCTCTGTTCCATAAGATTTTTTATATGAGTCAGCCAAGGTAAAGTCCTTTGCAAACTATAAAACTTTATACCTATATAGTCAATCTATTAGGAATACTTAGGGCTGTGAGTAGCAAAATACTTGACCAAGAGTGGTTTCAACATTTTTTGTATGTATGTTTGGTATAGTTACAAGCCTGGAGACAAGGTTTTTGGCAGTATCAGCTCCTCATTCAATCTGATCTCTTTTCAAGCATACTATTTTGCTGTCTGTAACATGCTAGCATATTATCTCTGTGTCTACCACTTCAAAATCACAAGTTGTCTGTAGTAACTCCAGATTATCACATGGTTATGGTTTAGATCTAGAATACTCCCCGGAACACTCATGTGGTCAGAGGTGGGGCTTTCGGAAGGTGACTGGATCATAGGAGGTGCTATAATCATCAGTGGTTTAATTCACCAAAGAATTCAGGGTAGAATGTATTGTCACGAAGTGGGGCCTGTTTACAAGAGGCAGGTTACTGGAGGTGTGAACTGGAAGGATGTATCTCCCTGCTTAGCTTCTCTCTTCCCTCTCTGCTTCCTCATTCCCATGACTCAAGCAGCTTCCCTATGCCAGATCCTTCCACTGACCCCTGCTTTTGGTGGGGGCAGGGTACCGGAGATTGAACGCAGGACTCTGCTCTTGCCAGGCAGGTGCAGTGCCACTCGGCTAAATCCCCAGCCGGCATCAACCTCGTCTCGCACTGGAGTCAGCTAACTATAATCTGAATCCTCTAAAACCATGGGCCAAAATAAATCTCTCTCTTTTAAATTGTAGGGCTAAAAATAAATAAATAAAAAATAAACTGTAGGTGCTGCATATTTTTTCTCAGTGATAAGACACATATCTATATTTGAGAAAGGAAAATAATACAGGAAGCCGTATCTGTTCTTTTACCACAAAAGCAAAAGCTTTCCCATAAATTACATTGGTATACTCTGCTTATGTCTCATTTGTCAGAAATGGCTTATCTGTGCACTGTAATTGCAAAGAAGGCAGAGAAAATTAACAGTATTTTATTTACTCAGCCCCCATAGTGAAGGCACGCAAAGAAAAAAGGGACCGAGAATGCCCACTTGTCAACCATCTTCTGATGCCTGCCTTAGTATTATAAAATCGAAATGGGTTAACTACATGTTTAACTATGAAAGAAGGCTCTAAATATGCTGTTACTATAAACATCAGCACAAAAATTTAAGTCTCTAGTCATGTTTATGTTTTGATATCCTTTCTTGTATTTTTTACCCTAAAAACTAACTTCCTTAATTATTCAACTAAAGGAATTAACTTACAGTGATTTTTACAGAAATCCAGAGAGAAAGAAGGGATGTGGTAAGAAAAATTGTTCCAGCTACCACAGGAAGGCCACACAGTAGGCCCCAGGGCAATACAGGGCCTGGAAGATTGGGTAATGAAACCAGACCCAGTGTTCAAGAGGACGAAGAACACTTCAATCCCGATAATCCTTACCACGTGCGTACTGGTTGTCATGACGTGCTTAGATGAGTGCATTAAATGCTGAAATGGTGTTTCTGTTTGAGGTTTCATATGACCACCTGGTATTCAGCTAAGACCCTTACTCAATTCTTTCAAAAATATTTCATCTCTTTGGTGGAAGGACTGTAATTAAGGGTAAAAATAAGTAAGCATTGCATCTGTAGTATAAAATCCTGATTGGTTGTAACCCTTATTCAAAGTTTTCTGAACTCTCCTTTTTATGTCACAGGAAAATCCATGATTCATAATCAGGAATGTGATTACTTAGAAATGTTCCCGAGTATGCCCTAGAGACAGTACACAGAATGAAAGTATTCTCTCTTTAAATCTACTTTACTCACCGTCCAACAGACACTTGTGGGTTTCCTGCTGTCTTTCCCCGGAACCCCATGCCCAGTCAGGAGTAACTTCTGCCTGAAGGGGCTCTCAGTCCAGTCATGGGATAGACTCATAGAAAGATAAAAAGTACTTTAGACCAAAACCCTGAGAACTGATCTTTGTGAGAATGGCACTAAGGTGGTAACAACTCAAATCTCCTAAGAATTATTAACACTACCCTGCTTTGCAGGAAGTGAAAGTAGAATAATATTTATCTGTAATTATCTGTAAAACCTAAGCGTGCACACACACATTTTAAAACATACACACGAGGACACAATATAAAGCCAAATTTCCCTTCCACTCCAGATAACCTCCCCAAGAGCAGCCTATTAGGGATGACTATTTGCTATTTCTTTGAAATAATAATACACACACAAACACCCACTTTAACATAAAATTTCTGTGCCTTACTTTCATTACACAGTATTTTGGGACGTGTTCTTTATCTTCTGCATATCTCAGCCTAATTTACCTTATAGTCATTTGGGAGATTACTCTGTATCTGCTACATAATCTCTCATTCACTTAAAGACCTCTGTTCATTTAGTAGTATCCCAATATATGGACATCGAAATTTAGTTCTTAGTTAACATATAAACTATTTCCCTATCTTCTGTTCCTACAAATTCTCTTGGAGCACACCACCCATACAGGAGTTGACAGGGTTAAGGGAAGGAGTAAATGAGGTAATGCAGGTGAAGATCTTAGCTCAGAGCTTGGCACACAGCATTAACTTGCTCCTTGTTAGGTATTAGTATTCCATCTCTTGTACACACAGGTAAGTATGTCCTTAGCAGAAATACAAGTCTAGGTCTTCAGCATAAATACATGGGTCTGCTGTGGGAATTTTACATTTTAACGGGGGCTACCAAATTTCCCTCTAGGGATCCATTTACTATCAAACTTTTTTTTTTTTCAGGTGCTGGGGTTGAACCCAAGGCCTCACACTTTTTTTAGAAAAATCTTTGCTAATCCCTTGGCCATATAAATTTTACCTCCTGGTTGATATGCATAAGGTTGAACATCTTTTCATGCGATGTCATTTGTGCATTTTTTCTGTGTAGCCTATTAAATTTCACACTGCTTCATGTGAAAAATATATTTCCTAGTTTATTAGACTAACATATTTTAGAAAGATATAAAAAAGTATTTCTTGAACAACCCAAGGCTTATCAGAAAATTCAGAATACCCCAATATTTCATTCAGCTCAAACAACAAATCTTAAAAATTCAACACAGTTTATTCCCTAGATACCTAGCTGGGATGGCTGAATCAGCTCGAGGGATGAAGGCATCAGCCATTTTACTAAAGGGCAGGATGCGACTCTGCCCTGATTCCATACTTGAGTGATCTATATTCCCTGAAAAACTTTAATCATATGTGTTTCCCTTATTATATCCTGAGCTGTAAACAAAAATGCTTAAAGTATTTCTCACTGTAACCTCAGCCCTTCACATTTCCTTTAAGGCAAAATCTTAGAGCAACAACCCATAATCTTCCCAACTTTTTAATCCAAAAAACCCTTGTTGAACACACAGGTGAAGAAATACCTCAACCAACAGTTTTTGTTTTGTTTTTTGACATCTTCTGCCCTAGAGAAGCCAGCTAAACTTAATGAAGTGGTTATCTTTTGTTGTCCCAGATGAACCTATTTCAAGAGATAAGGAAAAAATAGTCTGAAAAATGGTGCAATTACTAAGATAAATTAGTAGATATTTTGGTGACCTTTGCACATAGGCTGTATCAGAGAGTGTTAGGAATTATTGTGTTAGGTATGATAATAGCATTGTAGCTGCACAGGAAAATATCCCTTCCATCAAATCTAGATAAGAACATATACAATTTTCTACAACTTCAGTATATCTGAAGATTTTAATATGCCCTCCCCCAATTAAGAGTAAGGCTAAAAAAAAACAAAAACAACAACAAAGAAAAAAGAAAGAACCAAGATATATCATGTAAAGGTACAAAAAAAATTCCCAATGATGAATGTCATCATAATGTATACCTAAAATGTACCAATAAACTTAATGAATCAAAAAAACAAACTAATATAATCAGCTACCTCCAGGAAAGAGGAAAATTTAAGAGAATTTAAAGATATGGACTTCTTGGCAATTTAATGCTTTATAAAAGAGCATCCAAAATCTTGAACCTAGGGCCAGGGATTTAGCTCAGTAGTGCTGCAGCCTGTCTCTAAAAAAAAAAAAAAAAAAAAAAAAATCTTGAATCCTAGATATCCTGAAAAGGTACACCAGATATGCAAATAGAAAACAGGGCAAGTCCATTCTAATTTTGCAGAAATCCTCTTTTTTATTCTAATGCTCCCCTTTTGTTTGCTTATTTAAAACAGTCAGAAATGGGGTGGTAACCATGGCTCATTAAAAGCATAGAGAAACTTC